GTCGCCATGATTTTTGAGGTCGGTGGAGGAGAGGGACATCACGATTTTTCTTCTTGTTGTATGTCCAGGTGAGCAAAAGGTTCAATTTTTCCACTGTCCAGATTTTTCCGATGTAGAATATATGGGAGTATGAGGATATGTCCAGTTCTCCATACTGGACAAGGGTTATGGTGATTGTAGGTCGGTCCTTGCGGAGTTTTTCCATCCTCCATGTCAGTCCTTTTGGGTTGTTACGTCCGTCTTGGGCCAAAACTGTTCCTCAGTTCAATCCCAAATCTCCAAGATGTCCCGGACCTCAGAGAAAAGGGGAAGTTGAGGGACAACCGAGAGAAGACCGCAAGAACAGGCATGGAGTTGAAAATTGTTAACGTCTTGTGTTATAGCATTTGGGCTTGAGACAAAAGCATGTACACTGTGCAACAATAATTATGCTGAAAATGTCTTTTGAGTATCCTATAGAATCATCAGCCGTATAGGTGGATTGCTATCGCCTGCGTAGAGACAAGAGCGTTGCACCAGTAAGTAAAGTACGAGTATCCGTTTGATATGAGTCGATAGTTGCGTGGAGATAGAGCGAAGAATGTTGGTAGTGATTGTCTGGTGCATGAACCGCACGTAGTTAAAGCGAGAAGCAGAATCGGTACGCTTTAGAACCAACACGCGAATATAAGGCCAACCTCCGGTGAGTGAAGAACACCAAAAGCAACGCTAGGAAAAATTTATTAACGGGGCGAAATGCTATCTAGTGCTAAAAATAAGGCACCGGAAGATAGCTAGCTAGGAGAAAGGTGTGGTCGCGTGCGCGGAGAGCAAAGATGGCCGCGGAGCCGATGAGCGTCGCGCCGTTCGAAGGCGGATGCTATGTTGACTCAAACAAACGCGAGCAATGTTCAAACAGGCGAGCGGCTAATTTGCTATGTACATCGAGAAAATATAATTTTGTGATTTTGTAATATTTTACGCAGCATGCGGCAGCCAAACAGGGGAATCTCCAGGTCACTACAACATCTCTCTCCTGCCGCGCCGTTATCCATCGTTCATGTTACGCGCGTCACCTCCTCTTGACAGCAGCTAGTCATTGTTGACTCCATGTAGCTTACAAGTAGCCACTCCCTGACTCTCCAACCCTCATTTTCTTTTGCCGTCTGTCTCTCTTAAGATTCGTTCGCATGTTGATTTCTTCATCAAAACTGTAGGCACCCAATAGTGGTCAAAAGTCTTAATGACATGGCTACACCAGCCACTGACTCATTCTTTTCTAAAGCCACTATCTCTGCTTAGCAGCAGTTAGTCACCATAGCCTCCATTTAACTCTGCGGATATCCGTAGCTGTGTAGGAGTCGCGCCCTTCTTACAATATTCATTTACTTGGATTGTTTGCTTTACAGCTCAGATGGTTTGTTGACCTTGTATGTGCCACCGTAGGTTCCACTAGTAACTGAAGGCTTAACCCAAACTCTATTGCTGGTCACCCTTCCCTCTCCTAGCGCGCCGTCATGCGTCGTTCGTCCTACTCGCGTTAACTCCTCTTGACAGCAGCTAGTCATTGTTGACTCCATGTAGCTTACAAGTAGCCACTCCCTGACTCTCCAACCTTCATTTTCTTTTGCCGCCTGTCTCTTAAGCTTCGCTCGCATGTTGAGTTCTTCATCGAAACTGTAGGTGTCCAGTATTGGGCAAACGTCTTAATGACATGGCTACACCAGCCACTGACTCATTCTTTTCTAAAGCCACTATCTCTGCTTAGCAGTAGCTAGCTGCCATAGCTTTAATTTAACTCTGCGGATATGCGGAGCTCTGTAGGAGTCGCTCCCTTCTTACAATATTCATTTACTTGGATTGTTTGCTTTACAGCCCAGATGGTTTGCTGACCTATTATGTGCCACCGTAGGATCCACTAGTAACCACTAGTAACTCCAATGCTGGCCATTCATCTCTCTCCTAGCGCGCCGTTATCCTACTCTGGTCAACCCTTCTTGGCAATAGCTAGGCATTGTTGGCTCCAAGTAGCTTGCAAGGAGCCACTCCCTGACTCTCCAACCTTCATTCTCTTTTGCCGTCTGTCTCTCTTAAACATCGCTCGCATGTTGACTTCTTCATCGAAACTGTAGGCATCCAATAGTGGACAAACATCTTAATGCTATGGCTGCACCAGCCACTGATACATTCTTTTCTAGAGCCACTAGCTCCGCTTAGCAGCAGTTAGTTGCCATAGCCTCCATTTAACTGCGGATATCCGGAGCTCCGTAGGAGTCGCTCCTTTCTTACAATGTTCATTCTCTTAGATTGCTTGCATCACAGCTCAGATGGTTTGTTGACTTATTATGTGCCACCGTAGGATCCACTAGTAACTGAAGGCTTAGTCTAAACTTTATTGCTGGTCACTCTTCTCTCTCCTAGCGCGCCGTTATGCGTCGTTCGTCCTACTCGCGTCAACTCCACTTGACAACAGCTAGTCATTGTTGGCTCCATGTAGATTACAAGGAGCCACCCACTGACTCTCCAACCTTCATTCTCTTCTGCCGTCTGTTTCTTAAAGCTTCGCTCCCATGTTGATTTCTTCATCGAAACTGTAGGTATCCAGTATAGGTCAAACTTCTTAATGACTTGGCTACAGCAGCCACTGATTCATTCTTTTCTAGAGCCACTATCTCTGCTTAGCAGCAGCTTGTCGCTATAGCTCTCATCTAACTT